GGTCCTATGCAGAGCCATTTCCACCTCTACCCTTTTTCTCCTACGTGTTATCCCTCTGGTGCATTGTGTCATGAAAAAATATGAGTGCAAATGACCCAGCTGTTAAGCTGCCTTGGAAAATAATTAGTATGAAGGCCCAGCTTTGTCCCAGGGGGCCAGCTTAGGACTCAGAGTCCTTGGAGCTCCACCCCAATCACATGGGAGCAGCACAGCCAGCAAGAGGACTCCAGCTGAACAGAATCTGAACCTTGGGAAACCAACTCCTCCTGACTGGTGTCCCCAGTGGCCCAGCTGGCAAATGCATAATGGCAGCAGCAAGACAGAATGAGGAGATGCCCAAGCGGACATCTCAACTGGTCCCAGCCATGGCACCAGCCTGGGCAGAAGCATGGCGGGGCTGTACATGTGTAGTTGAGTCTAAGCACAAAGACGCCCACTCCTCCTCTTATCTCTCCCCAAGGCACATCAAGCCTTTGCAAACAGCAGTGTTTTCTGACACCCCAACCATCTGGTCTTCCCTCCATTTGCGTATAGGGTGGTGGGGGGACTGTCTGAGCCTCCAGTGTGATGTTTTTCCCTGACTGTGCTATAGGGTATGAATCATTCTAGGAAAATCCAGCCAGATAGGTAACTTGGTGGCCAGCACATGGACTAAGGGAGCTGAGAATGCCTGAACTGGAAATTTGTGATGGTGTGTGTGACACATGCATGCACCCTGGACAGCTTCTCAGCATAAGGGGGTCTGTCCCCAGGCCAGGAAGGTAACTTATTGCAGACAAAGGAGCAGGAGACCTACTACGCTAGCTGGCAGCCTAGTCCAAGAGGATAATGCCCCTAAAGCATCTCCCTTTTATTCTTTTTTTAAAAATTTATTATTTTTTCATTAATATGAGAATACAATATTTAGGTTACATTGTTCTCACTTCCAGGGTAAAGGTCCATTTGTAGAAGAGCCCCTCACCCAGGGGGCATGTTATACATCCTCACAATGTGCACAGTAGGTGAGATCCCGCCTCATGCCCTCCCTCCTTCTGCCATAGATCCTCCCCTCCCTCCCAATCTAGGGTATCTCCTTTTAAGGAAAAGGGGACCTAAACAGGAAGGGCACACCTGGTGAGAGACAGAAAGAGAGACAGCATGCCAGGATGACACTCAAGGTTAGGCGTGAGCATGTGTATGGTTGGTGGTGTCATCTCCTGAGATATTATCAATGAGTGAAAGGGAACCAGTTTGGAGGAAAAATTAAGAATTTAAAGTCAGGCACATTGAGCCCTTGGGCTCCTGAGTCATGGCCCAAGGCAGAGAAGCATTATACAAATCCAGAATCAGCCTTCAAAGTGTCCGTGGACCAGCTTTGGGGAATCAGAAATTTGAGTAAGTCAAAGTCTCCAAGTCGAGGTTGGACTAGGTGATTTCCTCCCCTTCTCCCTACCAGTCTTCCATGTTCTACATGTAAGTCACAGGCTGTGACAGAAGAATGGAGGGGGGTCCTGGGATGAAAATCATAAAAACCTTCCATCCAAGAGTCCTCAGGTGGGTGAATTTGTTTTTCCAAGCCTTGATGTCCTAATTCCTAAAATGGCACCTTCCTTAAACATTTGTTGTGAAGAGCAAGCCAAGTCAGGCATGGAAAGCTCCAAGCACAGCCAGGGCCCACACCTTTGCTTTTATTGCAACAGTGTAGTGAGAGGCTCCATTAGAGATTTGCACTTTTGCTCTCATTTCTTTAAGGAAAGAGATGCCAGCAAGTTAGCTGCAAATCCTTGATAGAGTCCTTTCAGAGAAAGCACTCTGGCATCACTTGCAGTGGTATGGTCCCCTGCAGTCACTGAGGGTCACCTCCTTCAGAAGGGACTCACCAGATCTGCTGTATTTCGAAGGCTTCAGAAAGAAGCTCTGTGCTCCTAGGATGGGTTTCCAAGGAGCGAAGGGAGTCTCGGCTCTGGCTCAGTGTGTTGGATGACACCTTGGAGATGCAGGTGGAGGTGCATATGTGTCATGGAAATAGGGGACGCTGATGCTGCAGCCCCTGGTCAGAGCCCACCCTGAAGGGGAAGAGTGTTCTCCCTGGAAGAGCTCACACTGTCCAGCCCTGCAGTGTGGAGGGCCCACTCAGCAGTGGTGCAGCCTCTTCCGTCAGATGGGCAGGGTTGGTGTCCAACAACAATGTGCTATAGCCAGGAGGTTTCAGGATGTGAAAGGCTGGTCCTACCCCTGTTCAAGTATGGATATTGTCTGAGCTCCTCTGCCACCCAGAATCTCAGCAGGAAGCAGGATTGACCTCAGGTGAGTTAAAGGAAGTGATTCTAATGAAAACCCTACTGATAGCAGTGCAGAGACGAGAGGAAATGACATGACTGAAGCCTGAGAAGGACTGGGAAGGAGGACTCATCCCACAGACCTGTAACTATGAAGAGGTGCAGTTTGCCAGAGAAGGGGGTGAATCCAGAAACAGAGAAGGAACACCCCCATTCCCTGCTCAGCTGGAGAAGACATCTATAGAGAAGAGGTAAGAACAGAAAGACCACCACGATCCCGTGCCTCCTCCTCCAGATGGTGTAAGTCCCTGTTCTTAGAAGGGTCAAAGGGAAGAAGAGGAGTCTATTGAACTTCTTGGTAACAGGAGAAATGAATGCTTCAGTAGAGAAATTAAAGTGACCTATTCATGGCTACCGCTCATGTCCAGGAAGGCATTCTTACCAGATATTCTTACCAGATATGGTAAAAGTAGCCATATCACTGGCAACAGTTTCATATAACCTGTAGGAACTGCTCCATGAACTTGGGCTACACCATCATCACATCTTTTTATTAATAGTAACAGCCTCCCACCATCCTCTCTCCTTCCCAGACAGCATTTAGAATAATTTAAGCCAACTTCACCAAGGGGGCCTCCAACAGGGGTGGAATCCACTCTTCCCAGGCCCAGCAGATGGGGCAGTGGGAGGCTCTTCCTTCCCCAACTGCCAGAGGCCACCCAGCAAGTCAGGGGCTAGGGGCAAAGCAGGAGGGGAATACAGCCCAGCAGACCCCACTCTCAGGCCAGATTTCCACTTAGCAATGCTGTGGTCAGTCCCGAGGCAGGCATGAGGCCCTGCTCTGCTCCCCTCTCCAGCCCATGCTTGGCCCAGCCCTGCCACATGTCCCAGCTGTGGTTGTCTAGCCCTGAGCAGGCTCCGCTGCTGTGAGCAGACACCCCTCAACCCAGGACACTGAGTCCAACAAAGCCAACACTCTCACCCGCACTCCATAAACACACATTGTCCACATTTAGAAATTAACCCCATCCATATATATCCAAAATGTTCTTCTTTAAGAGTTTTTGGTGGCCTGGCAGCCACGTGTGTATTTGGTAAAGAGTTCCCCACTTTTCTTTCTTCCTGCTCCTCTCTCCTTAGTAGTAAGATGACCACCCTTGGCTGAGGGCAGCTCAGAATAGGAGGAAAAGGTTTAGACTCCAGATTTCCTGGTGGCATTTCCATTTTTTTTTAAATTTCTTTCTTTTTTAAAAATTTAATATTGCTTCAGGACCCTGAACTCTGCGAGACTCTGATGTGTCCTCATGCCTGTAGGCCTAACAGACAGGTGATTGTCCCCAGAGCTTGCTCCACTGCACTCCTCCCTGTCCAGGGCATCCAACCCACAGCACTGTCCCTGTGCTCAGAGACCTCCACCACATGTCTGGTGTACTGCATTTCAAGCCTTCTGGAGCCATGGCCTTTGTCTTCCCAACACATGTAGAGTTTCCTGGGGAACAATTCAGCTCCATATTATAAGGCAGCAGAGCATCTGGTCCCAGCAAGGACACTGTGACCAGACTTAGCTTCTTACTAGCTCTGTGACCTGTTATTCACCTCTCTATGTCTCAGTTTTCTCATCTCTAAAATGCAGTTGATAGGATTATCTACCCTGTTGGGGCTCTTTTGAATATTACATATACTGATGCATGGAAGGTGCTTAGAACAGTGTTTGGTACAGGTAAGTAGCATGTAATCATACACCTATGTCAAATCTCTATTTGACATATACCTTAGTCCAATCTCTAAGTAAAATGTAAAAATCTCTAAGTAAAAAGTAAAAAAAAAAAAAAATTCTCTTACTCAAATCTCATAAGTAAAATGAAGGAAATGACCAATTCCCAGCATTACTGTGAAAACCGTGTGGGACAAAAGTAGCCATCCAGTAGCCATCCAGTGCTTGGTACATGGCGGGCACCAGTAAAACTCCGGTCCTTTTCTCCATCCCCACTTCCATTCCCATCCTGGTCCCCACTGCAGGAGCATCTGAGGCAGTGACACTCGGGAGTGAGTGTCAGTAATGTTTAAGCAGCACATGTGCACAGCCATTTTCATAATAACTGGAGACTTTGGTTTGACTCAATAATGTTTTCTAAGTACCTACAAAGAGCCCAACCCTGGGACATGGAGACAGTCAAGGTGAAAGAAGAATGAAACACACAGCTCTGATCCCTGAACTCTGCACACAGTTTTGAAAGAGGGAGGACAAGGAGGAAGAGGAGGAGGCAGAGCTGGCCCTAGAGGCTGCCTATAAAGACAAGCCTATGCGTCTGACTGCTCAGCCTGGAAGTCTGCCGCCAGCCCTGCCTCTGGCTAGAAAGAGTCCCCAAAGCTAGAGTGCGGACAAGGCCTCTTCTAGGCCAAGTCTAACACATGCCTATGTTGGTTATGACAAAAGTCTATAGTTTTTATTTATTTTTATTTTATTTATTTTATTCTTCTGGAGACAGAGTTTTACTCTGTCACCCCTGGGGTTGAGTGCTGTGACATAGCTCACAGCAACCTCAAACTCTTGGGCTCAAGGGTTCCTTTTGCCTTGCCGCCTGAGTAGCTAGGACTATAGGTGCTTACCACAATGCTTGGCTAGTTTTTCTATTTTTAGTAGAGGTGGGATCTCACTCTTGCTCAAGCTGGTCTCCAACTTCTGAGCTCAAGTGATCCTCCTGCCTTGGCCTCCAAGAGTGCTAAGAGTGCTAAGATTACAGGTGTAAGCCACTGTGCCTGGCTGAGAACCTATCATTCTCAGAAGCAGCAAGAATTCTTCTCCCAAATGTGTGCACTCAAAGGCACAGTGTACCCTTGGGTCCTGGCCTCGAACTGGTTGGCTCAGTTACCCTTGTCTCCTTGTCTCATGCCCCACCCTTTCACCACACCTGAACCCTGTCCTGTGTGCCTGCAAGTCAGTGTCCCAAGGACCTGCCCAGCCTTTGCTTGCTTCCCCTGTAAAAAACTGGGCCGACTCCCTGGAACCCCTCCAGGAATGAACAGATCCCTAAGGAAGGACTAAGAGAGACCTCACCCAGCCCATTCACTGGAACTCTCACTGCTTTGCACACAAACTTTGGTTACTGATGCTTGCTGCACCTGGCTACACACTCTAGCTAATGGGCCTTGGTTGGCCAGGCTCCCTCTAAGATCTCAGACAAGACTCCAAAGTTTCACCCATTTCCCTAGAAACCCCCCTCCTACCACCTCAGCATTCAGCTTGTTCCTGCCTTACCAAGTGCTATGTCACTTCCAGACTCCAGCAAGTCTTGCACCCACGCCCATGACT